TAAAGGTACCCTCATAACTGAATGCATTATGCTGATCAGGACTCCTGTGCATGCAAGTCTGGACTTCGATTAGATTGTGATCAGAATTTGTTGTTTTTGATATTGTTATATTCCTTACCAGGTCATCATTATTTGTGAAAATAAGGTCCAGTGTGTTCTCCAGTCTTGTTAGCTCCACTATCTGCTGACTTAGGCTGTGTGTGTGTTGCAGAAATTCAGCAGCTCATGCGTGTGTGACCTTTCATCTGAGCTACCTCCAGGGATTATTTCTGCTACCAACATTATTTGCTATATTCTTTCCATTTGTGTGTCTTAGATTGAAGTCCCCCAAGCAGCAAGATGTTTGGGGGTGGGGCTGAAAGTTTTCCAGACAGGAGTCGATTTTTTACAGTTGTTCTTTGAACTGTTGGAAGGGTTTCATCCGGTGGCTTATATACAAGTACAATGACTAAGTTTTGGTTCTCGATTTTTTTTTGTCAGAACTTCAACCCACATCATTTGTGGTGTTCAGTATCTCTGTGCAAAATGAGCGACTCTTTGGCATACAGGCCAACCCCCCTTGTTGCCTGTTCTTTCTGTCGCATCTGAAAAGGGTTTTATCCAGGTATCCATATTTCACTGTCAAAGTAATGTTTTGCGTGGGTCTCCGTGAAAGCTGCAAACATTGAATTTGACTCCTCTAGAAGTCCACTAATGAAAGGTATTTTGTTGTTTGTGGATGGCTTAAGGCCCTGTATATTAGCAAATATAAATGAGGTTGTGTTGCATGTTTGTTGGGGGGATTTTGTTGTTGGCATCAGTAGCTGTGTGCCCGGAGGCACCACTGGCTGTGCCTCCAGTCCAACAAGGCTCCAAGGTGGTGGGCTATTTTGGTTATCTCTTTCCATTTTCTTTCTTCGTTTCCTACCCCTAAAAAAATCACTTGGGGTGTTGTCATAGCTACCATAGCTAATATGATGTGTTGTATGAGGTGTGTGCCTCCTGGTCCCTTTTAGATGGTATGCAGTGCAATTGGTATTGTAACATTGTTTTTCAAGGATTGAAGACTGACACATCTCAGGATGGAAGTATTTGCAAGAGGTAGAACGACACACTCCCTTAGACAGGTCGTCACGGCAATTTTTGGGGATGCTCAAAGTTGCATGCCCCATTCGTTTTCCCTGATATTCCGTGTTTACAGATGCCCCAAATAAAGTATTTGCAACCTTTTGTTTTGGCTGGGTACAATTCGTGCTGGATGTATTCTTAATCTGTGCTGGCCCTAGGGCTGAACAACAGTCCTCCATAGCCAATCCAGAGTCACCACCATCTGCTGTCATAGCACCAACATTTTTCCAGGGAGGGGATTCCCCGACTGAATCTGTACTAGAGGCTATGACTGTGATGGCTGCAGAAGAGTCTACCCCAGAGGAGGGCTCCTCTACTACATCTGTACTAGGGGCTAAAGGGGTGGTGGCTGTGGAGGAGTCTTTAACTGAATCCGGATTTTTACAATGGCTGGGGCTGGGTCTGGGTCAGCCCTAAGGCTGGGGACTGAACTAGCTGTTGTTTTTGTGTCCCGTGTTTTTTCTTGTGTGTATCTGCTTATTTTTGGGTCAGTTTTTGTAGACTGGGCATTCTCTGTGTTAGACTTTACTCCTCTCCTATCTTCCCATGTTCTATATATTCCAGGTAGACTAATCAATAGTTCCTCCTTTTTTCGTGTTTTTTTGTTTATTAAACTCCTGAGTGCTTTCCTGATATCTGTCCATAGTTCCACATCCCTGTTTTCAGATCCCGAAACACCTATCTAGATAGATGTCCATTTTTGGTTCAGTGTTTATTCTTGCACAAGGTAACATGATGTTTTGAAAAACAAAGGTTGCATGTGATTCTAGATTTTTTCCCAAGAGCCTTTTCACATGTCCCCCAGGTAACTGTACTGCCATCCTGCCTTATCCATTTGCAATGGGTACCACAAGAACTATCTTCACTTTACCTTTCAGCTCTGCACGCAGGTGTGGGTGTTATAGGTCAATTTCATGGTATATGGGATGTAATTAGCATGGAGACTTATTACCCATTAAAAACTTTTATGTTGTATAACATCATATATCATACATCCTACAGCATGTGATTCCTGTCATGATCACTGCTGTTTATCTTGTCCTGGAGAGTTATATGTAGTGGTGGTGGCTGGGTTTCGGTGATGAAAGGTAGTTCGGTTGTCAGGGGTATGGGGTTTGGGTGCCAGTAGAGGGGTTGAGGACCATCCCCGCTGGTTGGGGTGTCGGTGGGGGAGGGTAGCGAGAAGATTTGGAGGTGGTTTATCCTTTTCCACTATCCAGTCACTGCATGTTCACTGTTTCCCTGCACATCAATCAACTATCTCTTATTTTATTAGTTCTACTATGGCTTAACACATATCGAGTTTGTATCCCCACGTCTCCACTTTAATTGGTTTGGTGATAAGTGGGTCCGTGGTATGAACTTCCACAGGTCAGTGTCACTGACCTTTAGTGACTAATTCAGCCAACCCATTCCTATGACTTTTCAATTGGTAATGGTCCTTTATATAAGAGATACCATTGACATGACATACTGTATTACTGACATGTGTACCTTACTATGGTAATTTATCGCAGCTGTCTCTGGTATTATGCTCTAGTGGAGGGCCACACAACAATTATAGAGTTGATCCAAGCTATTCCTGATCAAGTCCCCGTCCCAGTTACCGACTCAAAATTTCATAGTTGCCATAATGGGTCTGGACACGGCTTGAAAGACTATCGTCACTTTGAATAAACTGCTCACCGACGGTCCTCTCTTTGGCCTATGACCTCAAGCAACCTACGATTCTTGCTGAGGAAAATGCTAGGAGAAATTAAAGATGTTTTCTGAATAAAAGTATCTAAATCAACTCTTATAACTATATACATTAGTGCATTTATATATATATAAAATATATATTTTATATATATATATATTATATATATATATATATAATATATATATATATAATATAATATATATATAAAATATAATATATATTTTTATATATATTTATATAATAAAATATATATAAAATATATATATATATATATATTATATAATATATATATATAACGTTATAGGGAGGTACCACTTCTAAAAACTTTACTGGGGACCCTCATCCTCAGAGAACACAATAAACGTACCTCAGGGAAAACTCAAGGTTCTCCCCTGAGCTGTTTGAATATTTTCTTCTCCTACCACCCCCTATATTTTATATTCTGTATGAAATTTTACTGATAGACAGAATACATTATCAGAAAACACAAATATGAATACATTAGAACAATATATCAGAGATTGTGAATCTCCTCCAGCTCCTCCGAAGCCGGACGCGAGCCAAGTATGCAGCATGCCTTTCCCCTCCTGGACGGCTACACTGAGGCGCTGGAGAGTGAAAGTGGCTGCCCTTGGGTCCCTGGTGGTGTCGATGAGTCTGAAACCCAGATCTTTGAGGAAACGTGTGGCATTTTTCCCCCATGATCCCAAGGTCTCTGATCCCACTGGGGCAAATTGATACTGTTGGCTTATGTCCCTGTACTTGCCGATCTAGTACTCCTCCCTGTGATCAGCAGCTCCTCCCTGTCTCCCGACACTGTGACGGATATAGGTGTCAGCCAGTTTGAACACACAGGTATAGTCCCATGCTAAGAGCTTGCCATTCTTCAAAGAATAGATGATGATCCCGTAAGGGTGGTTTGCTGGGTTGTGGGTATTGTTGGCTGCTAGTGATCGGGGCTCTCTCTCGGCTGGGCATCCAGCTGTAGCAATCGTTCTGTTTATGAAGTGGTTGACTTCATTGTGTCTTGCATGCCAGCCCTTGGTTTTGGAACAGTTAACACCATGTAGACCATATTGATCGGCTTCTGCATCGCCGCAGATACACATATATTCCGTGTGAACTGGAGCAGCAAGGTGCAGAGCCACTGCAATGTGGAGGGTCTTAGGGTCGAGGTGTGTTCCCATTGCCGAAATGGGAACTGTTTGGATGAAGTCCCCGAAGTGACGTGCACTCACAGTTACAGCCCTAAGCATGTTGGCAAGCACCTTTTCAGCAATAGGGCCATCCCAACTTGACTGTTTGTAGGCCAGTGCTGCACTAGATGTTGGTGCTGGAGCAGCAAGAGTCTCCCATTCAGTGCTTTCACTCACGTAGCTGGGGTCCAGTATTCCTGCTGAGTCACTGGGTTTGAACGGAAGAATTTGTTTTATTAATTCATTTGATGCTATGGAAGAGGACAGGAAAGCTGGTAGAGCAAACTGGGAGGACTTACGTACTCCCAGCCCCCCAAGCCTGACTGGAAGTGAGGCTTGCAACCATTGTCCTCTTCGAGGGAAAGATTCAATACTCTTTCTAGCATGGTCTTAAGCAGAGAGTCATATTCCTTGAGTTTCGGACTGCTGAAGGCTGGGGAGCATCTCAGGAAGTAGGTCAGTTATGAGATTGACAGGCACCTGATGAGAAGATAGAAGGTATCATGTGTGTATCGATGTCTTTCATCCTGCTTTCCATCGTCCTGAGGTCTGAGATTTTTTTTCTAGGATCAGATCGATGGCACTGGACCCAAGAGAAGCACCAAGGAGAGTGCTGTTGGCTAAATCAATGGCTCGTGCTCCTGGTAAAACAACACTAATATTCTGGATAATCTGTCGACTACTAGAAACTATTTCACATTTGGTGGGGTTTAAAGATAAGCCCAGACGTTCTACCATGCCTTTAATTTTTTTGATGTCCTCTAGGAGAGATTCTGTAGTTCCACCTTGGGTACCATCATCCAAGAACCAGATATTGAGTTATTAACCCTAGGCCCCTTTAATGTCACACAAGTTTAGGATTAAGAATCAGGTGATAGGCACTAAATTCTTAACACCTTAACTGCATAATATTTTTATCAGAGAGCAAATTAGAGTTCCTTTTTCAGAAAATATACTTTATTATGGAAGTATTCAACTTACATTTTTAATTCTTG